TAAAAAGATGTTAAATAATTACCAGAGAAAAAAAATTAGAATATAGTTGAAAAAAAATAGAATGTTTAGAAGGATGATATTTAACTTTATATAAATTGTAAAAGAGCTTAGGATACAATTAATTTGAAAAATTAGTAAATTTAAATGCTCTTAGAATAGAAGAAAAAGTATTAATTCATAATTAATTAGAATTGAGAATTTATTTAAATTGGAGTAATTGAGAAAGAAGATTTTATCTAAAAAAAAAACAATAGATACAAGAATAAAATCACCAAAAAAGGGTAAAAAAAAATAAAAAAAAAATAAGTAAAAAGAATAAATTGAAAAAATATTATGTTCTAATTAAGAAAAACCTGGTAAATTAATAGATAAAATAATAAAAAGATAAGAATAACATACTAAGATGGAATAAAATTAATAATAATTAAAATAAGAGTAATTGTAAAATAAATAAAATAAAATTTAAAAATAAATAGATCTACCTTAATATGATGAAGAACATTCATTCTCATACATTGAACCTACTGATCAAATTTTACCTAATGAAGTTGAAGATACTTTAAATTAATTTCCACCTTCAAATTATTTAAAGGAATTAGTAAAGAATCTAATACAAAATAATGAAGTTTTGGCTACTGCAAATTTAGCATAACATGATTTCAAATTATTAGAATTTTTTTATATTTAAGCTGCTGCAACAAAGATTTAAAGTGTCTGGAGAGGGTTTTATTAAAGAAAATTAATACTCGATAGTTATCTAAAATATCTCGAATAAGAAGATTAATTATAATAAGAGAATTAATAATATCAAAATAATTCATTTTTATAAGAATCCAATAAATCTAGTTCCCCAAAAGTTGTTAATCCTCCATAAAGTTAAAATAATTCAGTATTTTAAGATGAAGAAGAAGAAGATGATTCACATAATAAATAATTGGATGTTCAATAAGCTATTATTAAAATATTAGAAAATTAATAGTCAGGTTCTCCATTAAATTAATCTTCATAATAATTTAGTCAATAATAAAGTGATGATTTAGTAGTTATTAATTAAGTACCTAGAGGATCTGAAAATGAAGATAATGATTAAGAGATTGAAGAGAATGAGGATATGGAAAGTTCTAAAAATATTCATGATCATAAAATTTCAAAATAAGAGACCATAATATAAGAAATTTAACATCAATTAAATGATTGGAACTTTAATTTAGAAAATTTAATAACAGAAAATAGAAAATCATATGCAATTAAGACTCTTAAAGAATAGATGTAATAAGCAATTATATCTATTGTTTAATGTTAAATTTAAAAGTTTTAAGAATAATAAAGTAAATAATAGATTGAAACTGAATAATCAGTAGATTTAAAAATGAGATTATCATAGGAAACAAATACTGAAAAGAATTTTAATGATATTAGAAAGAAATTTAAAAGTGTTTAAGAATAGAGTGAAGAAAGATTACTTTAATCTTCTAAGGATTAATCTACTGATATAAATAGATCATCACTATTAGCATTATAATCTTAATTAATGAGAAGAGAAATTGAATTATTGAGTATGAGAGAAGAAGCAATATAATTAAGATATTAGGCAGAAATTAAGAAATATGAAAATGATGATAATAAAAAATTAGAGTTGAATTTATGGTTAAAAAAAGAATTGGAAGATTTATAATAAACAAAATAAGCAATTGAGATTAGTACAAAGAAGGAAGCAAGTGCGATGAAAAAAATACAAAGAGATTTAATAATTGCATAATCTTTTGATGAGAATAATTCAAAACTTTAGAGTCTTAGAAAAAGAGTGGATGAATAACTAAGTAATCTAAAATAATCTAAGTAAAGCATATCTGACATAAAATTAATAAATAATTTCTGTGTATAAAATGAAAATGAACTTGAGAAATTAGTAGAAACATAATCAGAAGATTTCAATTATGAAGACTAATTTCAATAAAAATAATTTCTAAAGGATAACTTCATTGAATCATATGAAACTATTGAGAAGTCAGCTAAAGTAAATTTAATTGTTAGTGATTTAGTAATAGATCTATTACAAGAAATGACTGAAGGTAATTATTATCATTATTAAAATTAGAATTATTTAAAAGTGATAATAAATTTGAGATTATTATATAGAATTTGATAAGATAATCTATAATTCCATAAATACCAACCTCTATTATAGATATTCGTTATTATATCCATAATTTATTTGATTACATCTTACCTCAACACTATTATGAGATCATTCGAAATATAAATATTCCTTATGGGTTCTCACCATAAAAACGTTTATAATTTATTCATGGATATATGGAATCAGATGAATCTCAATATAATGAATTTTTGACTTTTGTCTTAAAAGAAGAATATTTTTTAGAATATGAATAATATAGATTATAATAAAATGAATCAGAAAATGAAGATAGTATAACATAGGCTTTAAAAGAATTAGAACATATACATAATAGAGCTATTTTTGATGCATGCAATGAAGCCCTCAATTTTTAAAGACCCTATTATTGCAGTATATATATATTTATATATTAAATTTCAGATAGTGGATCACCTTATCCATGGGAAGGAAAAATTGGTCATAAAGTTATAAAAGATAATGATTTAAGTGAGATTTTTAAGAATATGGAACTCAAAGTTGTTCAATGGGCTAATTCTCTTTGTGGATTTTTGCCTGTTGAGGAAGAGATTACTATATCCAAAGAAAAATAAGTTATTTTAGATGAGAAAAATTAATAAATAATGCTTTAACAGATGTAATACTAGGATAACCCAGAATTAATGGAACAAGATTATTAATAGGATCCAATCTCATAAATCAGGGAACAAAGACTTTATAAAGCTCTTATTTAAGATGTATAAATATTATTTAAAATTTAAGTTTAAAGATTTAGAATATAGATGGAATTAAGATTAAGATGATAAAGCTGAATTAATGATGGAAATTGGAGATTTGATCTTTGAATAATGTATAGAGGAGTTTTTAATAGAGTCAGTTGTTTTGTGATATTAATTCAATTTTATGTTAAATTTATTGTTTATCAATTAAAAAAAATATTATTGATTATGGTTTTCATAAAATCTATAATATAATTATTCATCCTATTTTTCAAATGATTAATTTTGAATTTCATATGAATTTCATATTAATAAATAGGATAAATACAACATTTTAAATTTAATTTCCTAATATATGAATAACTGATAATGAATTATAACAACTGACTGTGATTATACATATAATGTATAATAATTATAAATTTGATTAACTGTCATGAATCAACTATAAATTGAAGAACTTAGAAGAAAGCTATAACAATTAAAACTTGAAAGAATGAATGAAGATTCATCAGAAGAAGAACCTACATTTTAATCTGTATAAGGATAAACTAATGATAAATAATTATTCTAAAATCTCTCGATTGATAGTTTTGAAGTTTACACAACATTAGGTACTGGCACTTTTGGACGTGTAAAATAAGTTCGAATTAAACGTGATGTTAGTCGTTAAGTTTATGCTTTAAAAATTATGAAGAAACATGATATCTTAAAACTAAAATAAGTTGATCATATCAAATCAGAAAAGAATATTTTAAATGAAATTTAACATCCATTTTTAGTATAATTGAAAGGTTCATTTCAAGATTAAAAATGCATATATATGCTATTTGAATTTGTTTCAGGTGGTGAATTATTTTCTCGTCTAAGAAAGGATGGCAGATTTAGTTAAGATATCACATTGTTTTATGTGTCTGAAATATTATTGGCAATACAACATTTACATAGAAAAGATATAGTCTATAGAGATTTAAAACCAGAAAATTTATTAATAGATAAAGATGGTCATATTAAAATAGCTGATTTTGGATTTGCTAAAATAATAAAAAATAATCATACACAAACTTTGTGTGGTACACCAGAATATTTAGCACCTGAATTAATTCAAGGAGCAAAAACTGGATATGGAAAATCTATTGATTGGTGGGCTTTTGGAGTTCTTATATTTGAAATGTTGGCAGGGTATTTATAAATTAAATTATTTTTAGTCACCCTCCATTTTATGATATTGAACCAACAAATATATACAAGAAAATATTGAATGGAGTAATAGAGTTCCCTAAGTTTTTACATGTAAGAGCAAAAGATATAATAAGAAAATTGTTAAATTCTGATATTAATAAAAGATTAGGAGTGGAAGATGTAATGTCACTATTTAAAATAGGAAGGGGCAGCATTAATGAATCATAAATTCTTTAGAGGAGTTCCTTGGTAAAAGGTTTATGAAAAAAAGATTCAACCACCATGGATTCCATATTTGAGAAATGAAACAGATTCACAATGGTTTGATAAATATCCAGAAGAAAGAGAAGACATACCATTAATACATGATGAATAATAGCATATGTTTGATGACTTTTGATTAATTAAATAAATTAAATAGAAAAAATGGATGAATATTTAATGAATTAATAATATGTTAAATATTAAATCTTATCTTGAAATAGTTTAATAAATTTATTAATGATTAGATAATAGGTTATTATAATTGTTTATTAAATTTCTTGTCTTCAAGAATCTAAATTAAATCTTAATGAATCAAATTTTAATCAAATTATAAATGCTTTATTAGATATTTTTAATGAATTATTGATTATTGATACTATCATTGGATTGTAATAAAGAGAAAGGATGTGAATATATTTTAAATTTCAAATTCTTTAATACCTATTTTTTATTTTATCATGTTCTTAGAAATCATCTTTAAAATTCTACAATCTTTTATGATTAATAGAGAGTATTCTTCTAATTTATTGAGTTAACAAACCAATTTAGAGTTGCAACACTCATATTACAATCAAATAAGAATGTAAAATTTATCTTAAAAAATTGAATTTATGTATTAAAAATATAAGACTCCTATATTACTACTATGTTAAACAACAATTTTTTTCCCGCTTTTTTGAGAAATAAAATTAAAAAAAATGCAAACTGAAGTTGCTCCCTGCACAGAAGGTAAAATGTTATTTAAATGTAGATCAAAATTAAAAGGACACTCTTATTAAGATGGATAATTAAACAAATGAAGAAGACATTTAGAATTAAAATGAAGCAATGGATATTGAGGATAATAATTCCAATTAATAAAATCAGAGTAAGAAATGTAAATATCTTTTCTTAGGAAAAAGAAAATAAAATAATGTTTAAACAAAGCCAGATCTAATTATTAATGAGAAGAGATAAAGAAAACCACCTTAAAATGCATTTGTTTATCGTGATCCATCTCCATAAAAAATTGTGGAAAAAAAAAAACCTTAAAAATACTAAATAAGTTCAAGAATGAATGAAATTTGTACAAATATTGAGAAATGGGAGTAGTTTTAGAAAAGCTTAAACAAATTAGGATATCCTAGTTTAGTTTTAGATCAAGAAAAAATTAATGATTTATTAAAAGATTATGATTAGAAAGATGAAGCTGGTAAAGAATATTATTTGAAAATGATTCTTAAAATTGTTGGAGAATCTATGTGTTCTAATAATAAAACTGATATTAATCAATAGATAAAAAATACAATTGAATAATTAATTTAAAATAAGAACATTATAATAAATTGGACGTTATAAAAGTGGGAAGAATAGATTAAGTCCTTTTTAGAAATTAGAGCTGAATTAAATGAAGATATCTAGTTTACATCTCATTTTGATATTTAAGCTTTGCAAGCTCTTATTGGAAATAATCTACCTAATTATATAGAAGAATCTAAATTCAATATTACATCAATTGCATTGAAATCAAAACAAATTGATGATTTAAAAAAAGTATGTGATTTAAATGAATTAAAAAATGTAAGATTAATAAGAGATTATTTGATTACTTTAAATTAAAGAATAGATTAATTAAAAAAACTTAAAGAGAAAATAAATTTAATAAAAAAATAAGAAGATGAAAATGATATTATAGAATAACACAATTAATAGGATTCTAAAATTTTAGAGCTTAAAAATACACCAATTAAATTTCATTAAAAAACAGAAGTTAAATTAAAGTCCTCTACAACTTAACCTAAGTAAAAATCAAAACCATAAAACCTTGAGAATATAGAAAATAATTAAAGTAATGAAAATGAATAAATAAATTCATAAATAAACGTATAAACTGAATCAAATTAAGCAACAGAATAAAAAATAAATGAAAATAAATAAAATAAAAAGAAAGAAAAGGAATAATAAAAATAAGAGAAAGTTACTAAAGGAGCACTTGATAAATATAAATTTAAGAAACTAGAAATATAAGAAATTCCAACTTAATCTAATAAAATAGAAACATAGAATAATTAATTTGAAACTGTGTCTTCTCCAAAAGATAACAATTAATAAATACAAGATAGAGATATTTAATAATAAGATTCAAATGAACCATAATAAATTCGTTAAAATTGTCAATAATAATAATAATAATAATAATAATAATAATAATAATAATAATAATAATAATAATAATAATAACAATAATAATAATAATAATAACATCCATAATAACAAACATAATAAAACTTATTAAGCTCATTAGGATAACTATTAAATTAATTCTCATAAAATCCAAACTTATCATAAAATAATTCATAATAGATTTAAGTAGAATAATAGGGAGATCAAATTATTATTGATGCATAAGTTTTGGAAATTGATGCAGGAAGTGAATAAGAATCAAATTTAGAAGGAGATCAATAATAAAATAACAATTCTTTAAATGCTCTCAATAACTTAGTCAAGTAAATATTTTTTATATGATATAGCAATTTATTTAATTTAGAATAATAGCAAAATCAATATTAACCCCAGTAATCATTTTCATCTCCATAATAATAATAATAATAATAATAATAATAATAATAATAATAATAATAATAATAATAATAATAATAATAATAATAATAATAATAATAATAATAATAATAATAATAATAATAATAATAATAATAATAATAATAATAATAATAATAATAATAATAATAATAATAATAATAATAATAATAATAATAATAATAATAATAATAATAATAATAATAATAATAATAATAATAATAATAATAATAATAATAATAATAATAATAATAATAATAATAATAACCTCAAAATACAGGAAAAAATCTTAAGCATTTCTTTTTTGAAAAGAAATAATAGGTTGTTCATAAATAAGATGAATATTAACCAAAACAATTAACGCCTTATAGAATGGAATAATTTGAAATTTTGATTGAAAAAATGGCTAATATGCAATTGCAAGAAGAAAAAATATAAGTGTCTTTAAATGATTATAATTGTGATGAGATTGAAATTTAAGAAACAAAACCATAATAATAAGTTAGAATTAGAAAAATACATATTTATATTGCAGATTCCGAAAAAGAATATAATGGACATTAATTTATATAATTAAGTCAAGTCATCAGACCAAGAGCTCCTTTCTTGTTAGGTATATCTATATAATGAATATTTAGACGATTAAATTGATTATGATAAAGATTCTTTAGATGAAGTTGAGGAAATGTTAGCAGAGAACCTCTCAGATGTTAATGACTCTGATGAAGATGTAAGTGAGGAAAGTGAATAAAAGGATAGTTTTCTTGTAGATGATAATCATCTATCTCAAGATGAGATCGAAGATCCTGAAGAATTACTAAATAATAAATGCATTGCAAATAATACATAAGTGTAAAATGGAATAGTATATATAAAATTCTCATAAATTGAACCAATATTCTTTGAAACTTATAAAGCCTAATACATTCCTTAATTTTTTACTACATAACAATTAAAAGATTAGAGTAATGGAAATATTTTATAAACTATTGCAACTTAATAAGGAAATAACAATAAATAAATTTAAATTCCAAAGGCTAAAATGAGTTTTAGTAATAATAATTAAAAAAAACAGAACAAACCTAAAAAATAAAAAGCAAACACTACTAATGATTAATTAAATTAAAGTTCTTCTCTATTTTCTCTAAAATCCTAATCAAATAATAAATCTCAAGTAGAAAAAACTACAATAAAATAATAATAAAAATCTTAGACAAAATTAGATAATAAGGTTGATGAAGAGAAAATACAATAAAAAAATGATGAGAATAATAATAAATGCAAATAAGAATAAGGAGAGGATCAACAAAGAGAATAAGATAATGAATAGAATCAAAAATTGTAATAAAATTTTAATGATGAAAACTTATAATGATTAATCTATGAACATTTATATTGTATAATCAATTTCAATTATGTGATATGTAACTTAAATAAATATTCCAAAAAAATCCTATAAAATTTACCCATAAGACTTGATAATGTCTGGGAATAAACCAGAAATTAATAATCTATGCGGCTGGCCAAATTTACCAATTTGTAATCATGGCTTTTACAAAATTATTTTTGATTGCATCTATTCCTTTCTACACAGAACCACTTTCTAATAAATTAATTATCATCAAATAATGGCATAAAATGTAGCATGCCCAAACTGATTAATCAATTAATACAGATCCTAATGCAGCTCTAAAAGGAGTTGTAGTATCAAATGGTAATCTATAAGGTATTATATACAATTATGTTACCTTTTCACTAACCATGGTAAAGCATATGTGAAATTATAGTGAAACAAAGGCATCATAAATACATTACCCATAAGCCAAGCTATTCCTAATCTTCTAAAGTCATACTCATGACGTTATTAATTCTTTTTAGCAATATGTGATTCCATTGTCTAAACTACAGCATCTCCTGCAAAGAACATAAACCCTATATGATTAATTAAAATGTCATACCTCCAGTCACTGATTTTGTCAATAGAGGATATTATTGTAAGAGAGAGTTGTATTTAGCAAGGAATTACATGATTTAATAAAATAATTAACTGCTAAAATGAATTATATATCAGAATGTTCTTTTGACCATAATGTTATAAAAGTCTTCTCTGGAGATATCTCTACCATTTGAAGCAGCTCTCTCTAACATTTCAGACAATTCCTCAGCTGTCATGGTTTCTCCCAATTCTTTGGCTACCTAATTTTGATTAATTTTAAATGATACTCTTTTCAAGTTATTCAAATTAATTGAGTTGCTTCCATCATCATCAAATAAATCAAATATTTTATTGATACCATCTCTAGATTCTCTATTTCCTAATTTTGAAGTTATAGCATCCAAGAATTAATCAAAATCGATATCAGTTCCTTCATTTTCTAATTCAGCAATCATATTGAAAATTGTAGGATTCTTTTAATCAAATCCCAAACTCTACATGGCAGCCTTTAATTCTCTAGGATCAACTCTTCCTGTACCCTCTGTATCAAATAAGTTAAAGGCTTCTTTTATTTCTTCTATCTCATCTTCTGTTAATCCTGGTCTATCTATAATAAATTCATTTTACCTATCTTAAGGCTTTCTATTCACTTATTATTATTTGCCAACTGGTTTTTATACTACTGGTGCTTATTGTTTTTTGTTCATTAAATTTTGAAATTTGAAAAATAATTAATATATAAATCAACCTAAAATATCATTTATATAATAGGTAAGTTTGTATATACAAAAATTCATTATACTAAGAACCTTATATATTTTATAATAAAATTTAATAAATCTTAATCTTTAAATAATTTTGATATAAAAGAGGTAATTATTTTATGCAAAAATTGAATCCTTCTAAAGTACACAAAATTATTTAGAATTGAGATAATCAAGAATAAATATCAAATCATCAATTAATAAAAATAATGAGAATATTTAATGTTAATTTTAAATAAATACTATTAGTATCAAACTCTAATACAACTAATTTTAATTGAAATTGTTTAAAATACTTTGTCAGTTATGATAAAAAAGAATAGAGTTGGAATTGCACTAATTAAAAATAACTTTGAAGTATAATTATATGGTTTATATATTAATCAAATAAATTTATTAACAAACTCATTCAAATGGGTTATACATATATCTATTTTTAACAATCTTTTAAATTCCAAATGAAAATTAATTAAATAGATCATTAATTTCAAAATCCCATACACTCCCTTTTCCATTTATTTATTTGGCATCTAAATATATTATTAATTAATACATAAAAAACTACTAGGCTAAAATCCACCTATATATGGTAATTCTGATACAATTGTTTTGAATTTATTAGCCTAGGACTCATCATCAATTTAATCAAACATTGTCATACTTCCATCCAAAGAGGATATTATTAATTCTATTTATATAATATATATTAATTTTTACTATTAGCTATACTTAACATTCTGCAAGGATTCATAATTTGACAATCAGCTATTTTTTTAATTTTAGTCTAATTTTATTTTAATTATTACTTTATAAGTTATTGAATATATTTGTAGACTATTTTCACAATCTAAAAGAACAAGAAGAGGCTTTTAATATTCATTCTTTAAAAGCTAAATATCCATTACTCTTAAAACTCCAAATTCAGTTGACCAATCTACTTTAGGTTGAGAGTTATCTTCTTCAAATTTACATATCACAACTTTAAATCCTCCATTTAATACAGCTATCCATCTATCAACAACAGAGACAGCCTCAATTTAAATTTATACAAGTTCCCCTCTTAAAGAATCAGGTGTTAATGAAAAACCAATAGCACTTTATCCAACATGTAAATCAATATATTTTAATTGATCTTACATAAAAATAAGTGCTAATTTAGGTGGCATTACTACGAAATCACATGGAACAGCTTCTTTAAATAATCTTGATTATTGCTATTCAGTTATCTTCTAATATTAATCTAATTTTAAAATATGTAATTTTGTATTTGGGTAATCCCTAGTTAACTATGAATTAACAAGTGTCATTATTAAAATAAGATCCATTCCTTAGAGAAATTAAACCTTGATAATTTCTTCATTATCTAATTAATCATATTAAGCAAAAGGATCATTTAAATTATCAGACCTATATACAAATACTTCATTCTTAAGTTAATTTTAATTTGTTCTTCTATTTTAAGCTTTATTAATCACTAAAAGATATTCATTTGAATGAAACTATAAATATATTAAATATAATTACACTAAAACTATGCATCATTATTGCTGTACATCTATCTTTTAATACAGGATTTATTATGATATTATTACAAGGTAAATTACTTCTTTGTAATTAAGGAAAATAATAACAACTTCCAGTATATCCCATTAAAAAAGCATCTAAATTAAATAAAAATATTTTTTACTTTATTAGACTAATAAAACCTAATCATATTGATCTTCTTATTTAATAAAGTGGATTAGTATTTCACCTAAACTTTCTGTTAATGTTAAATTTAATCCTGGAAGTATAATTTATTAAAAATTGGAAGGTCCAACATAGTGAAATTTTTAAGATTTTAATGAAACACTATTTGATTGATATGAAAAGATTAACTTAAAAATTTTTATTTAATTAGAATTGTTTTTGATTTGTGAATAAATTGAAATCTTTCCAGATGATGTTATCAATATTATTGCCATTCCTTTATTTTTATAAAAATTCACCAAATATGAATTGATAATATCTTCATTTTCAGTTTGTGAGCATTTTATTTGAATAGAGGGACATGTAAATACAGCATTTTAACCTAGATTCAATTCAGGAATAGTTGATATTGCACATATATTACCCATGAATTCATTAGTAATAAACATAAGTTAGATTTGAATTTATGATGACTGAAATTTAACTGACAAAATTGATAATTTCTCTTTTTCAATTAAGAGAATAAGTATATCATTTTCTTATTAAGCCAAATCAAATGAAACAATTTCACTAGAATTTATTTTTTGACTTATTAATGATTTTTCATTTAAATAAGTAACAATAAGACTTTTTTATTCATCAAATCCAACAAAATAATTCATTAATTATTTAACTTAACGAATATCATATTATCTAGAGAATTAACAGAGTGGATTAGTTTAGATAAACCATAAATATGTATCAAATTGTACATAAAAACAATTTGCATTTATTGTACCATTTGAAAATACATCCTAAAATTCAGGTATTTGAATATTATCAACTAATTAAAAATTACCATCTTTTAAAATCTTTGAAAATGTTAATTATTTCTATTCACTTATAAATCCAATATGATTTTCAAAATAAAGAGGAAACTTTTATCCATTTATACCTGTTTTTATTTTTAATGAAACTGTAGTAATATTTGGAGTTAGTTCATGTTATAATTTATAAATTTATGATGATGCTGCATTTCCAGTTAATATATAAAGAGAATTACCTACAACAGTGAAATTGAAAATCCTATTAAAAGTTTAAAATACACCTAATGCTTTGAATAATTAATCATTCTCTTCTAATTTTACTTTTTTCATAGCAGATGGATCAAGATCTGATATAGAAGGCATTCTAATAGCATTCATTTAATTAAGGGTTCCTGATGTTTCAGTCTAAATCCAAACTAAATTATCAGCAATAACAATATCTATTTATGATATCTAAACTGCTTACAATCTAACCATATTCATAATTTAATTAAAGTCATCAAATCTGATTTCAATAATTTCAATAACAGTTGGATTACATAAAAATAATTGATTATTAACTTAATTTAATTTCATGAAAGTAGCAAAACAATTAACTTATGCAGGTATGGCTAAATGAGTTTTTCCATTTTTTAAACATAGTATTTCATTTTAAGTCAAAGCCAAAATGTCTTCCATCTCTAAAGCAATTATTTAAAGTATAATAAATTTGAACTTATAATTTTACAAACCTTTTTCTTTATAATGCATTTTACAATAAAAAATAGTACTTTCAATATTTGCAATCATTTAATTTTCTCTAATTTATTCATATTGTTAACACATAATATGTAGAGTATCATCTAAACTGGCATCTATTTATTTAATTTCTTAATTCTTTATATTAATGGAATGTGAAACAAATTCTTATTTTTAGTTTAATTCAAATATCATAATTTCATTTTAAAATTGTACAATAATACATGATCTATTTTAAGAAGCTAATAATTATGCATCAGATGTAAAATGTTCAGGTAATATGACTAATTTATGATCATATGGATATTAAATAGAAATTGCTGATATTTAACCTTAAATATTTTAGACAACAAGATATTTGTGGTTGAATGAAGATAAAAACACAATTTTCTTTATTTGAGTGAAAAGTTAAATTTTGTCATAAAATTTAATCTCAGAATCTCCTACTCCATATATTTTGATATTTTGTGTATCATATAATATTAGCTATTTAGATGTGCCATCATATAGTGATTCAATAAGGGCTCCTTGAATTGTAAAACTCTTAAATACTTTTGTTTTCCTCCAATTCATCTATTTAATTAATTAATGAAATTATTCAAATAAATATATAATTTTATGTATGAAATAAAATAAAATAAAAATATTGATATTATTCAAGATAATATAAACTAATGAATTCTCTATTTGTTAAAATATATCTTAATTTATATTAATTTCAATTTAAGTTATCAATTAATAAATTAATCATATTCATATATATATATATATAGGAATATTTCAAATAATGATAAATAAGTTAGATTAATGTAAATGATAATTATAAATATATGTTATTACAAATAAAATACTGTTGGTTCCATATTATAATTATTAATCAGCCAAAAAGATAAAATTAAGTATTTTGATTAATTTTTCTTAAATTACCTAATGTTTTTAGTTTTGTATTTTTTAAATCATAAATTAAGATCACATAAATATAATTGACATATCAATTCATCACAATTTCTACTACTCTTTTATATTTGATTGCACAATTTTCCATACATGGATAGAGAGTATGATGAATATGTGATGTTTTTATTGCATCTCTATTCTTTAAACAACTCTTATAACAGAGAGAAAATCCTAATGTCTTTATTTCATCATTATGTTTATTATCCATGAATAATAAATTAATTTTATAATATTCACTTTAAACTGAATTAGCACAATTCACAAAAGTGATTAGAAGAAGATTGGAGGATAGTACATTAAGGACATTAAATTTCTTCTTCTATTTTTGTTTAATTATTTATATCTGTAGTTTATGCATCAGTTATTGTTTACACTCTAAAATATATGAATAAAAATTACTATTATTTTATTTATTGTTATTAGTCATTATTATTTGTATTGTTAATACTGATGTCCAAATTACAATAGAAATTTCCCCATTCTATCAAAGGAATAGTTTTCATAATTGTTGTTAAATATTTTACACTATATGGAGGAACAACCTTACAAACATTTTTAGGTATTCTACAATACATATATATATATTTACATGAAATTAATTTATGAATCAGGATCTTAAGTAATTTAATATGAAACATGGATAGTTTAATTTGTCTAATTGTTAATCATGAATCGTTTTAATAATTGATCAACTTATATTTATAAATTACATTCTATATTTTATTATTATTATATTTAATCTTCTTAAAATTAATTAATTTATTAACTTTATCTTAAGATATTTTAATTTTGTAATTAATTATTCTATAATTCATTAATAAAGTCATCATTAACTTATTATTATTCATTATATCCAGTTTCATTTGAATATATATTTTCATCAATTTCATGTTAAATTGATGATCTTTAAACATTTTCATCATTATTTATTATTAAAAATATATTAGAAGAAGATTCAATCTTAGATGATTAAATATAAATATTGTCTTTAAGTATTGCATATGGAAATGTTTTGTTACTTTAGAGATTAGGATTAGATTCTATATAATAAACAAGAGACTCATGAGTTTCTAAAAATACATTATCAATTTGAGTTTCTCTAGAGACTGATCCAGTTTCCATTATATTACCTATAATATAATTTGGTTGAATAGGATCATGTAATCTACGTTTAGTTATTTATTTAAAATTATTTTAAAAAATCTCCCATAATTTGATAGTTTATTTAAATTCTGTTTATTTATTAAAAAATATTGAATCTGTCATAGCTGGATATTTGATGCAATCCTCTTTAAATTCATTTAAAAATGTTTCAAACCAATCAATATATTTAGAATATAGATAACTTGGAGGTGGTAAATTTATAATATATGAAAAAACTGGTTTATTTTAATTCATTACTGTTAAAAGCATTTTCATCATTAAAATTGCCAAATTTAGATAATTTCTACGATTAAAAAATAATTAATTTAATATAGATATTGTTTCATCTTAACATCCAATATGTGTTAAATACGAAATACATTATAATGATAAATTTGTTTAACATCCAGTTTAATAATTATCTAAATAATTTGGTTATGGATATCCTAATATCCATTATATACGTTCTTATTATATATTATCATATATATTTAATAAACTTTCTGTCAATTTTAAAAATTAACCAACATTTTCATAATTAGATATTTAAATTTCCTCTAAAACTATTTCAATTATTCCTCTAGATAATGCTAAATTATTAAAAACCCTTTTTAAAATTATCGATTCTATAGCATCAAAGTCTTAACATTCTTTTAATGCTTTCTTATATAAAATTGTAGATTCTAAACATATTTTATCATTTTTTGTTAATTCATAATCTTAATTTTATAATAAATAGTCTAAGCATTAGAATAATGAACTATAAAATGGAACAACATTTAAATTAATAATTCCAATTTTCTAATCATATAAATATTCATAACATTAATTATTTTCCAATCCTTTTGGTGATTACTTTTCCATAAAAAAATCAGCCAATATAGATACTAATTCTATTTAATTAGCAAAGAATACATTAATCTAAGATGATTTAACAAATAATTTCCAAAAATCAAAATATTAAGTAAACTTTAATGCATTTCTTGGAACATCATTTTATAACTTTTATAAAAGACATACAAGAAATTAGACAATAAGTCGTTCACATTAATCTTCACTTTTATCCTATTCTGATTAAAAAAGTAATGAAGTATTTAACATAAAAGCATGAATGTATATAATAACATTTAAATAATGAAGCATTATTTATTAAATTGCTTAACGAACTTATTAATCTGGAGCACATAATAAAACATTAAAAACTCTTTACATATTCTACATAAATAACTATTAAAATATTGGAAATACTTGAGTTGGAATTATATTTATAAGATTAATTATAACCAATACATAATCCTTAATTGATCCATGATCAGATGATCTAGATAACAATTCTATTCCAATAAATGTTAAATTAAATAAAAGTGTTTATATCTATTCAACATTGTTAACTTATAAATAATTACTATAAATTCCAAAATATTAAGGTAATTAATCTACATTTTTTATTAAATTATACTAACGAGGAAATGGATATACTTCAGCTATTTCCTTAACAAATCTAAAGAATTCATCTGAATAAATATGTCTCTCCATCATGAATCTATGATTTTCATGTTAAATTTCTCCATACAAAACATCTGATATAAATTATTTAGCCATTGTTTAATAATCCATTTTAACAATTAAATTAGAGTTTTGTTCTTATTCACAATCAAACTTTGACATTATTTCTTATTTTTATTCTTAATTACTAAATTTTAGTTCTACTGTTTCCTTCTAAATTCTTTAATAAACTAAAATATAGGCATTAGTACTGCCAATTACTTAAAATCCTTAATTTAATTCACTCTATTTCCCTCCAAAACATTCATTAGATAATAGATTTAAATCAAATTCTTCTATAACTGAATCATTAAATTTTAACCATCTATCATCATTTGTATTAATTAAACTATAATAATGACCACATTAAGCAGAACCTTAATGAACAACTACTCCTTTTAATTTATATTAATAATAGGAATCTTATTTAAATTCAAAATCAGATAAAGCTTCCCTTGTATATTTAGAAAGATTCAATAGATGTGGGAATTCTAAATGAGAACTCAATTTTTCATTCATATATAAATCCAAATTGAATACTATTCTTTATAAATGTACAATCAAAACATTAGGTAATTTTGATAAACATTACCTTTTAATTAAATCATTCTTCTGTTGACATTACTCACATTTGTAATCTTTAATTATTTCCCCTTAAATCATACTATCAAAAGATTCATATAGTGATTTAACATCCTTCACTTTTAAAGACAAAGTGTAAAATAAATCAAACTTTTCTCTCATAGTCTAACACCCATTACAAATCATTTAACTACATATATATCCACCATAAATAGCTTCAATAAATTATTACCAACCTTTACCCTTTAATTAGTTATCAAGACGATCAAAAAATTGATTTAAAAATTCTTAAGCATCTTATTGCATTGAAACATTAACTGGTTAATTATCAGAATCCTTATATGTTAAGCAAAATTAATAAGGATTGAAATCAGCTTTATCACTTAAATCTAATGAAGCTAACATCTTTTAAAATTAATGAAAAGGATTATCATCTATTTAATATTCAAATCCTTGATTATCTTTATGGAGGATAATCTTTTCCTCCAATCCATCTTCAGCTCTCAACATACAGTATCTAAATTCAGGTGTCATAAAAAATTATTACATCATAGCATTCATAAAGCAAATGCATCCCAAATTTCTAATACCCACAAATCCATGATTACTTTTGGGTATCAGTTTAATTTCAAAACCTTCATACAACCTAATCTATTTTAATACTGTTTATAAATCAATAATATCTAAATTGAAATTCTATTTTAAATATTTTATAATTATACGATATACAATTTTTCTGCTTTCAGGAGATTTGCTTTTTACATAATTTTGATTACTTTAATTATTAGGATTCATTTAAAATTGAATTAAATTAAAGCAAAATAAATGTACTGTATATAAATACTTTATCAATTATGGTGTTAAAATACTAGAGTCTACAATACATAAACTTTCTAGTATTAAAAGTAAACCTATAAGAGTTTTATCAGCTGAAAGAGTTATTCTAGACTCATTTGATTCATAATTCTACAATTTTTCAATAATATTATTAGCTAATTCTTAATCACAATATTTTTCTTCCAATATTAATTTAGCCAATAGATCAAAATAACATTATGAATCTTTATTTTCATTTGATGGAAATAGATCTTTTAACATTAGAATTAATATATTATTTAATTTTGTTTTTTAACATCTAAATATTAGATATAAAGAATTAATAGTGAATTTTCTAATAAGTAATTATTTTGGTGCAAATAATAATTGTTAGTATCTTTATTTAACTGAGTTTATCTCTTAAATAAATAAATATGTGCAATTATCTAAATTGAATCCAACTAATGTTGTAATTAGTATAAGAATATATTCGATAAGTTATTTATCTTGATTAATATCAATAGGTATATTAATCAAATACATTAATAAATTTGTGTAATCTAATTTAATATCCAAATCTGATGTGTACTTAACTAATTCTAAGAATTCCTCAGTCTCTTATACTCTTTACCATGCTTTATTATCTTATTCTTAACACTTGCCTTCAATTAATTAATTTATATTCTCTAAGGATACTGATAGTGGCTATCTAACATGTTTTTGAATCTGAAAAATATTTTAATATTGAGATCTAAATTAAGCTGATATATGTTTAATAAAAATATTAAGAATTATAAGTTATCCTAGTTTTCTAATAACACTATTTTAATGTTGTAAATTATTCAATATAAATTATAACTACTTAAAACCTTGTCTTATTATAAAATATCTACAATATTCCTAATCTTAAAGAAGATATTAAATAATTTTTAAAGAATAAATCAATTAATAAGATGTATCTTATGAGAAATCTTCAAAATTTATGAGTCTTTATTTAGCAGCCACAAAGATTGGTAAAGAACACAATAGTTTCCAACATTCTTAAGCTATTTTATCAGTATCTTTCATAAAGTTACTCATCAACTAATAAAATTCTTAATTCTAAGATAAATAATAACGAGGTAATTTTAATTCATCAAATGTAAAATCACTTGAATTTATTAAAGAAAGATCATTTCTATATCCAAATGCATATAAATTCTACCAGACTAACTATATCTTCTACTATTATAAACAACAATCTTCAAAGAATGCTATAAAATTATTTAATGTTAGGAATTCTCCTTGAGTACTAAATTAACTAAAAATTTGATGAATCTTTTCTCCTTATTTAATATTTTCATTTTATGAAGCTTGAATTCCATATTGAGTAAATTAATCTATATTCATTCTTCCATCTGTAGAATACTAATTGAAAAGATTCTTTATGATTTTCAAAAACATAGGTGATAGTTTATTATTTTCAATAAGAGGTACTTTTGGGATAGGTTTAGTATTTCTTCTGGATACTTTAATGTAATCACTCCTTTTTATGTTTAATTATTTAAGTGTTTTACCATTATCTGTATCTAGTATGATAATATTATTTCTATGCAACTTAATTTATTCCCAACTTGATTTAATTTCTTTAGCAATTAATTTACGTAATTCAAATATTGTTAAATTTTAATATACATTTAAGTTTATATTATTAGATTATTATGCATCACCCATATCTTTGATAATATTAATATTAAATTATTCTTCCTTCATTAATCCATCCAAAGATAATTATTAACCAATACCATATTTTTCTGTCTAATTTAATAATTCTCTTAAAATATCTAAACATTTTAGAATAATCTAATCATCTTATGTTTTCATTTTTTAAAGTATTTATTATATAAATTAGTCTTATTATGACAAATTCAATTTAACTAATAATTATATAGCTGAATCTAATTATGAATTGAAAACAATATGCCACAAATATTTTATACCTATAATTTCATTTACATCTACCATTATTTTAAAATCCATTTATTCATCTTTTTCTAAAGCATTAGCATTTGCCATACTTTATAAATTTCCATAATCATCACATAATTAATTAAGTATTAATTATTATCTTTCAATTCTATAATCTTTTTGATTTACATAATAGAGAATCAATTTAAAACATTTAAATGCATTTTCATTAAGATGAGAATCTGATTTAAGCAATCTCTAATAAAAATCATTTAATTGTATAGAACTAAAACGTTCATCTTTTTCAATTAAATCACGAAGCCAATTGCTAACTATTTCACTTTCTTATTTACAAACAGGTTTTAAAATATGTTTATTCCAAATTTAATCTAAAAATTATTAATCAATCATCTCAGCAGCAGTACCATAAATAATAATTAAAGTATTAATTAAAAGAAGTCTTTCTTATAATTTATTAATATAAAGAGTCGTTTCATTAACATCATCAGTATTAATATTAAGATTTTAAATATATAAATTATTTATACTATCTCTTAATGTATGATGAACCTTTTATTATTAAATTAATCCTTTAATAAATTCATTATCTAAATCATTTTCTTATTTATTATTAATTATATTGTTATTTTATTATTATTAAATAATATTGTTATCTACTTATGTTAATTAATATCTATTATTTAACTATTATATTTTTTATTATGGTAAAAGTGTACTAATAATTTATTATAATACTTTTAAGGATGAACATTCAACCTTTTATTATTTTATGTTATTAATTAACTTTTAAATCATTTATAACTTGATTTCTTTATCATTTAAAAATTTTATTAATTCTATTAATTAAGTTTTTGATTAATCTTCTAATTTAGTTTTTCCTTATTATTCGGCATATTCAATAATATCCCATAAAATTTCAATTGATTAACTAAGTAATAATGATTATTAATTGATTCTATTTTTATTCATTTAACAAAGTAATTGTACATGTTCAATCAAAATAAGATCTTTTCTTAATAATTTTATTTATTAAAGAAAGTAATTGACTTAATAATCTGACATAAAAGTAGCAATATCATTAAATAATTTAAATATAATAGATCTTATTTCTTTATCATTTGATTACATTAGATCCCAAATAATTTATAAATGTTTAAGATTAAATGCACCATTTATAGTTAAATATATTTTAATTAATTCTTTAGTTCTTTCTAATAATTGTAAATGTGTATTATGATGAAATAATATTTCTAAAATTCCTTATTTTTCTATCCATTATAAAATGAAATCTGATGATTAATCTTAATCTGCTTATTTTAATATATCTGTTAATAATTTAAGACCAATTATTTATTTATCTAAAAATTTACAATTAAAACAAATTTAAACAAATTCTAATCCTAAACTTTACAACCATTCTTTTCTTTAATCATCTTTCATAATTCTATCCAATAATAATTTATATGCTTAAATAATTATATTAATTTTCTCTCTACCCATATTACGAAAAGATTATTCATCAGAATGAAGAATAATTTATCTTAATCCTTATAATTTAGGTATATATTCTTAACAAAAATATCGATATAATTATGCATGTATACTACCTAATGCATGTATATAATTTGCCAAAATATCAACTTATTAAACACTTAATATTTATTCAAAACCACCTATATTTCCAAAATAATTGATAAATTTAATTAAAAGTAAACTCTATGAATATCTAGGTCTTAGAATAGCATAAAACTTATTTTCTAAATAATCTTATTCATAAAGTATATCATATGAATCATCAACAAATTATTCATTTGTATTATTTTTTCTTGGTATATGATCACCACATAATGCTAATCTAGGATTACATGCTGTTAATTATTCATAATGATAATTATTTTAACCTTTAAATTGATCTTCAGATTAATTTTCTTTAATTTCATCTAAAATTGTTTAAAAATGAAATTTAATAGTATAAGTAATAATATTTTCATAATATGAACTTTCAATTCTATCAAGAATAGTACTTAAAATCCATTTATCATTTTGAGTTGCTAAAATTGCTTATTTAGTTTATAAAGTAAACATAGAATCTAATCTCTATGAACGTGTTTAATAAGGCATCAAATATCCACTTTTTATGTTATAGATTTATGAATTTTACTACTCGTTTAAATATCTAACATTCAAAAAATCTTCATTTCTTTCCTCAACTATACCTCTATTCCAATTTACTCTATTTGTAGATTAACAACTACGAATGCAATCTAAATAAGAGCCAACTTTCAAATTATCAATGAATTATTTATATTCAATATTTTTAGTATAAGAATATGTCATAAACTATTATTTAATTATAGATATTTACTTAATCATGCCAATTAGTTGATAAATCATTATTTTAATAGATCAAACAATTTGGATCCATTATTTTACAAAATATTATACTTATCTTATCATCAAATATGTTTTTATTAATATAAAAAAGCACAGACTTTATAAACTTCTCTATCATTATTAGAATTTAATCTGGGTAGTTCATATGATTCATTATATAATTAATACTCATGCTAACTAATTCAGGTAGATATTAATCACCTTCACTTGTTTTTGTCTCATTCATATATTACTATACACCCTACAAAGCTTAAACTATAAGTTCATATTATTAATTAGTTTAAATTGTCTATATTTTCTCTATTTCAGAAAGTAAAAGCTTCATATTTTATAATTCTCTACTCATTTTATTTTTATTAATATATAACATATATATACACATAATAAAATGAATTCAATGTTTAAATAGTAATTAAAAAATCAAAACAATTGTTTTAGGTACTCATACATCATATACACTAAGCCAGAATGCATTGTAACCTTAGCAATTCTAGGTTGATATCCCTTAAATAACCCTTTCAAACCTTCTTCATTATAGATATTCTATAAAATCTCCATCGAAGCCATCTATCTATTTGATCCAAAATCACTTCTTGTACTAACTTGTTTTCTTGTCTTTACTACATCTAAAGGAAGTGTCATTGTTGCAGTAAAACTGCTTGCTAACATTGCTGAAAGAAGATTCACTGCATTAGGCATATCTATTAAAATCTTTCCTATTTCAATTTTTAAATTCTCTAGAAGACTCCAATAAATGCATGAAAATAAAATATCTCTTTAAATTGTTATTAAATAAGCTGAATGAAGTTAAGTCCCTAATTGAATATTTTTCATTTTCGAATATCCCACTGTTGATGATTATAATACTTTCCAATATTCCAAGGGAAATGTTACTAAAAATATACTTCAAATATCTTACTTGTTGTTGTTAATGCTCTACTAAATGAACTAGCCAATAAAGGAACTACCAATCTACTTGAAGGCAATTCTAATTATTATAAGAATTTCCTTGTTCTCTCATAAAACATGAAGTAGCTTACATTTGATGCTCCTGCTTATAATACTGCATATCTCCATCCATTAAAGAATGTTTATGCTCCTTCATGTATATATATATGTTAAAAGGCCTAAACAAGAGAATTTGTAGTAATGCAAGTACAATTCTAATAAATTTTAATTAAGGGGTTTGTGGCCTGAGATTTTCCGATAATATTAATCATTCTATGCGGTTTCCATAATTTCAATGATTTCGAGAGCATTCCATAATGATGTAATTAATGTCTTGTTGGTTAACCTGTTAATGCTATTTCATGAATATATTTAAATTTTGGTTTGCTTCTTTGAGGATTTCTGTGATGTTAATGCTCATGACAATGCATTTTGTCTACTTACAATCTTATTTTTAAGACTTCAAATGGATTACTAATGATTGTGCTAATCACACTAGCCAATCCAGATGAAATAATAATTGTAGTGGAACTTAAATGATCCCCTTATTTCATTAAATAAATATTATTGTTTATTATGTCATATTATTAATCATATTTAAATTAGATTCATTATAAAATTATTAAGATTCTTTTTAATTATATTTATTGTTTGACATTATTCTAATTCTCTTTTTAAACAATAAATATATAAATTATCAAAAATTCCTTAATCTAAAAACTTTTAATAAAGTTATTACAAATCTGTTAAATCATATGTATTATTTATAATTTTTAATTTATTATCATACTGCTTATGTATTAATTATTACTTACTTAATATTAAATTTAATAGCAGTCTCTAAATAATCATATATTAATATCTTATACTTAATCGACATTAAAGAATTTCATTTTTAATACTATTATAATTGTTTATATAATCAGTTCATTTCAAATATTATGATACATAGAATGTATTATATCTATACATTAAATACATTTAATGCAAATGTCAATATCAATATCATTTATACAAAGACTTAAATTAAAAATATATATGGAATATTAAAATTGAATATGTTCATGATTTTAAATAATTATTAATATAGATAGGTTCAAGCCAAAATTGAAACTATAATCTTTCTTTTTAATACATTAAATTATTAATAAATTTTCTATCCTATTAATTGGAAACTTAGGATACTTTTTGAAAAATATTAATATGTTCTTAGAATTATTTATAATATAAAAGTCATTAAAAATTTTATGTTAAATAATAATAACATTTCCTTTATAATTATATTATAAGAAATATCATTAGTTTAATAGTTATAAATAAGAATTTTTTAGTAAATATTATATTAGTATAATTAAAGAGTATAATGTAAAAATTGATAGCAACCTTAAAATAAAATTGCAATGAAATAAGTGATTTATAGAAGATTACAATATTAGATTAATAATTATATATATTTTAGTATAAAGTTATTTTAAAGCTTATTTTCTAATATAAAATCATTGCATATAATAATATATTTTAGGTTTGCCTTAATGATTGATTATAATAACTTTTGACATACTATTTTTTTTGACTTTTTTTTATGATGTAAAATGCATTTTATTTACAATATTGTTATCACATAATTATTTACAATTAATTGTTTGTTTATTAGAAGTTCTTCTCATTTGAATCTCTTCAATTGTGTTCATTTCCCAATCATCAAGTGTTTACATATATTTAGTTTATGATGTCAATCTTTTACAATCTAAATATGTTCTATTTTTCTGAAATCCTGTTGTAACTCTGCTATAAGGTCTTTCATCATGTGTTTTAGGTATAATAGCAGAGATTTTCATAGCTGATTCATTTGTAGTGAAAGATTGACCTGTGCTGAGTGTGGCTCTTGAAGGAAATAGAGATGATAATTTTGGTTATGAGCTACTTATTTTGGTTACTCGAAAGATGTTTTCAGATGATGAAGATTTATTCTGAGGAGAATAAAGTTCAGAAATTAATCTGTAGTGTTTTACTTGCATTTTAATATAAATATATAAATTTAAAAAACATAATTTATTTAATCATATTCAAATGTCACAATACGGTAAAGCAGAATATTGGGAAGAAAGATATACAAGGTATTTATATTTGATATGAGAATATAGAGATCCTGAACCATTTGATTGGTATTAAAGATTTGCAGGGATCAAAGATCTTGTTTAAGCTTGTTTCACTCCTGAAAGTAAACTATTAAATGTTGGGGCAGGGAATTCAAGTAAAGAATATAATTAGAGATAATTTTAGGGTTGAGTGAAGAAATGTTCGATGAAGGTTATTAGAACATTACAAATATTGATATTTCTCATGTTGTTACAAAAGCAATGTAAGAGAAGTACAAGGATAAAGGACCAAATTTTAAATGTACAAATTGATTAAATGTAGATCTTCATATGGATGCAAGAGCAATGGAATTTGAAGATGGATCATTCGATGGCGCAATTGATAAAGGAACTCTTGATGCTATTTTGGTAAAAGTTATAATTTACTTAAGTGTGGAGAGTCATCATCATCCAATGCTTAAAAAGTTATTTAAGAAGTTCATAGAGTTTTAGGACCAAAAGGAGTATATTTTGCAATTTCTTATGGTCTACCTGAACACAGACTTTAATATTTAGAAAAGCCAGAATATGATTGGTATTATTTAGATGAATACAATTAAATTAGGAATGTAATAGTTAAATAGGTTCATAAACCAACAATTTCAACTTCTATTGCAATTACTAATGAAGATAAAGATGCACCTAATGTTCATTATATCTATATATGCACTAAAGTAAATTGAAATTATTATGATTTTAGGGATAATAAAAAGGAGTTAAATAATGAATGGAATTTGAATTATATATATATATATAATCATTTAGGAATAAATTGTGTTACAAAATAAATCATTTTTCTAAGAATTATAAACATTATTCATAATATTTTAACAATTCTTACATGTCTTCATAATCTTTTTGTTATTTTTCTTCATTAATACTAAAGATAGTATACCATGGATCTCCAGAATCAAGATCTGATAAAGTCATCTTTAGGTTATCAGAGGCAAGTTAAAAGGAACATAAAACTAATATTTTTGGTTCATAATAGAGACAAGCATTAGTAAAGAATAAATCATTTAAATAGTTTTATGCACTCTCATGCAATTTAGATAGTTCTCCATGTTATACAGTAATTTTATATTTTGCTTCAATAAAATAGACTTATGGTACTATGATATTTAGATCATATCCTATCATTTATAATATATGTGATTCGGCATCAACAATTTTCTCTATCAAAACAGATTGTAAGTCTTCACCTTCTTTACCTTTACAATATATTATAAAGCATTTAACATATTTATCTATTTCGATTGTATGATCAAACATATCGTTATCTTTAGCTGATAAATAAAGGGATGCTAACATATAAATATGACGATTAAATTTCCTTAGAGATACTGAATGGGCAAATCTATGGAATATGGATAAAGCCTTTTAATAGTAATGATTAAATGTTGGATGATTGCCATTTTACAATAAGGTTTCAAGTTTTTAAGAGAAATCATAGACTTCTTTGTAAAATTTGACTTAATTTTCTAATTGGATGCCATCTTTTTATGATTAAGATTATAGCCAAGAATTGTATGATAATAATTTCATGAATTAATTATTTAAATTCATATGTCTTTATATGATAATTTTATATACATCTTGTAATACATTTTAAGTTTTCTATAGAGTATATCACTTAAATAATGGCAATTCTATAATTAATTAAAGTTATGGGAAATCTTTGTGAAACAAATGAAACAAAAAAACTGACTTCAGTTTAGATGCCATCCAAATAATAAGATGAGACAATGGGATACACTTCAGAAAGGAATTTAGTCTCTTCAAATTAATTGGAATCAACTTAAAAGAAATTGAGTATAGAAGATTTTGTGATGCTCAATCAGTTAGGAAAAGTAAGGGATTATAGAATACGATAGATTTCTAGGGTGCATTTGGAAAAGTGTTCAAGGTGAAAAAGAAAGATAACTGTAAAATCTATGCACTAAAGGCTATGAATAAAAAATAAATATTTGATAGTAATTTAGAGTAAAATGCCGTTATCGAAAAAGAAGTGTTGAATAATAACAAGCATCCATTCATTGTTAATCTTAAATATTCATTTCAAAGTCAAACTAAACTTTATTTTGTGCTGGAATATATTGATGGTGGTGAATTTTATTAGATACTTTAAAGAACTTAAGGACTTCCTGAACCTGTAGTATAATTTGTTGCAGCAGAAGTCATATTAGCTTTAGAATATCTTAATATGAAATTAAACATTATTTATAGAGATTTAAAACCAGAGAATTTACTACTAACTAAATCAGGACATGTTAAATTAACAGATTTTGGTTTAGCTACAAAAAGAAAAGAAAATAATCAAAAATCTTATACTTTAGTTGGTACAACTGAATATTTAGCTCCAGAAATAATTAGAAAAGAAGGACATTCTTTTGAAGTAGATTTATGGACATTGGGAATTTTAATTTATGAAATGATTACTGGTAAAACTCCATTTGCTCATCCTGAAAGAAATCAAAATAAAATTCAATATCTCATATTAAAGAATAATCCTATCTATCCACCAACAATGTCTCGTGATGCAAAGGATCTAATTAATAGTCTATTGTAAACTAATCCTTAATTGAGATTAGGAGCAAATGTATTTTTATTTCTATATTTTAATAGGGATATGATAGTATCAAGAATCATTCATATTTTAGTAAAATTAATTGGTAAGATCTTTATGAATAAAAAGTCAAATCTCCTCTAAAAACTTTTGCTGAAGAAAATTCAAATAGATTACAAAATTTATAACCAATGTCAAATTAAATTAAAGAGACTCCTGGTAATAATCCTATGCCATAAATTAATGGTATAAGTTTCCAAGGAAATGAAATGGATAGAGGTAGCTCTGTAAAGAATCATTGAAAAGACTATTGCAATAATAAGTATATAATTAATAGATCCTTCTAATATATTATTATTAAAATAATTTTCTTAATTTTTTATTCATGCTCTAATATCTTATAATCAATTTATTAATTTTCATCCATATAAAATTTCACTTTATTTGTTACTATTACCTAACCTTTTTTATATTATCAATTTAATATATTTTAATTAAATTTGAATATTTTTCTTTGTAGAATAAAAAACATAATCTATCTTTTCTTAATCCTCAAATATCTATAATCAGACTGATTTAAGCCTTTTAATATTACATTTAGTTTACTTTTCTATATGTAAATGAATTAAATAAATATTTAAATAAATTTGATTGAAGATAGACTAATAAGTAATAATTATAAGATAATAAGAATTTATGATAAATAAATATTTGTAGTTATGTTGATATATCTAATCCTCCTTTATATTATTAATAACTGCATTAGATTTATTTAAATAATTCATCTAAAAGAATATGTATTTTATGAGTAAAAATTCAGCTATTAAGTATTGCTAACAAGAAGGAGAGAAGATTTTCTTAATATCAATTAAAGATATTAGTCATTTTTAGATTATTTAAATTCTCACTTTTAATTTGAAATAGAGATATTTTGTTTTTCTATTATCATCTATATCATAATTTTATAGGATTATAGTTAAGACAGAAGAAGTAATAGTGAATTGAGTGATTATCATTAAATTAATAATTATTAGTGAGTTTATGTATAAACAGGACTTTGAAAATAAATTTTTAAATTAAGATTTTTATTTTAATGGCTGAATAAGAGCAATAATAAGCACCAGCAGTAGAATAAGAATAACCCGCACCAGTTGAAAAGAAGGGTTTCGGAAGAGGAGGAAGAGGATAAAGAGAAAGAAGAGAAGGAGGAGCCCCAAGATAAAATAGAGGTCCAAGAAGATTTGGAGGAGAATAAGAGTGGACACCATTAACTAAATTAGGTAGATTAGTAAAGGCAGGCAAAATTAAGAGTCTCGAAACAATCTTCCAATTCTCTATTCCCATTAAAGGTAATTCTAGATTATTTACAAAATTTAGAATATTAAATAGTTGATCATTTCCTTAAAAATTTGAAGGAAGAACCACTTGCACTTGGACCAGTTTAGAAACAAACTTGTGCAGGTTAAAGAACAAGATTTAAGGCATATGTTGTAGTTGGAGATAATCACTAACATATTGGTTTGGGATGGAAATCAGCTAAAGAAGTTTAAGGAGCTATTAAAGGAGCAGTCATTAATGCCAAACTCAATTTGATTCCAGTTAGAAAAGGATATTGGGGAAATAAGATTGCATAACCACATACAGTACCATGCAAAGTAACAGGAAAAGAAGGATCAGTCAGAGTTAGATTAGTTCCAGCTCCTAGAGGTACTGGTATTGTTGCTGCCATTACATCAAAGAAAGTGTTATAAATGGCAGGAATTTAAGATTGTTACACTTAATCAAAGGGAAGTACAAGAACAAGATCAAACTTTTTAAAGGCAACCTTCCATGCCCTTAAAGAAACATACAATTTCCTTACACCAGATCTTTGGGGACACACAAGATTAGAATCAACTCCATTTTAAGAACACAGCGAATATTTAGCTGCCTTAAAGTGAGATCAATTTATTATAAGTATATTAAAAATATAAAATAAATGTTCAAAAAATTATTGATTGTTTTGTTGACTACTTTATTCTATACTGTTACAGCAGAGAATTAATTAACTATAGCATTTGGCTCATGCTTTAAATTTTATAGAACTCATGATACAGATGTTTTTCAAAGAATTAAGTTATTTAATCCTAAATATTTTTTATGGTTAGGAGATGCAGCTTATATTGATTATATGCCAATTTTAGGTATATGGAGAGCTGAATAAAATGAGACCAGAGTTAAAGAGAAATTTGACATCACCAACGATGATAAATATTATGCTCAATTTAAGAAGAGTGTAATAATTAAAGGAGTATATGATGATCATGATAGTAATGAAAATGATGGAGGTAAATTTAATCCTCTGAAAGAAAGTGCTAAATAATTGTATCTAGATTTTATTGGTGAACCCAAAGATTCTCCACTTAGATAATAAGATGGGATTTATTAATCCTTTTATGCAGATCAATATAATAAAATTCTTATTGTTATGACTGACACAAGATATAATTCAGATAAATATACAGGGGATTCCTTAGGTGAAAATTAATGGAAATGGTTAGAACAATAATTTTAAACCGAAAGTTAATTGATCATTATGACATCTGGAGTTTAAATTATGCATGATGATAGAGTTGGACCTGAAACATGGTTTGGATGGTCTAAAAAGAGATTATATGCTTTAATCAAAAAATACAATAAACCTATTATTTTCTTGTCTGGGGATGTACATTATTCAGAAATTATGAAATATCCATGTCCACATAGATTAGGATAAAATCTATATGAATTTACTTCAAGTGGAATGACATTTGCTAATTATGATCACATTCCCTTTGTTGGATTTATTTTCTAATTTTTATTTCCAACCACTTTTAGTAATTATTAAGATCACTATTACAAATCTAATTTTGGAATCTTAAAAATAATAACTAATGATCAACATTCACCTATAAGAATTGAATTTGAAACTCATTCTAGTAAAGATTCAAGTATTGTTTTATAAAAGACTATCTAAATTGAAGAACTACAAAAATAATATTATGATGAATCTTAGTCTTGTATATTAGATGTATCTATAAAATAGAGACAATGGTAGAATTATTTATTGAGAATTAATGAAAACATTATAATAGTGACAGGCTCACTATTTGTAGCATTGTTAATCATTATATTTTTGATATATAATTTTATATCTTATATTTCCAAATTTAAAGAATTATATAATCAGATTTAGAAGAATAAATAAAAAATTAAATAAGAGTGATGTATATATATATAAATAAGAGTTTACATATTAAAAATATATTATTTAAACTAGTCCATCTAAAAATTTAGAGAACATTATTAAAACTTTTTATTAATTTTTACTCTCTCTTATTTTTAAATATAGATCTTATATTATTTTATGATTCTAAATTTATTCACTGAATTAAGAAATATAATTTTTGTTTAAAAACAATAAATAAATTTCTCACCTTTTTTTATTTTAGAATATAAAAATTTAATTAATATTGCATACTTCATTTAATTCTTGGAAATTACAATTTTTATTATTAAGTATCAGGCTCAATTCTCAATTTTGATAAAGCTGAATTCTTATATGTTGGAGCAGTGGTTCTGCTTTGATTAATTTTAGAGTATTTTGGATTTGTAGTTGTTTTAGTTAACCTTTCAACGATTTTACCCATTTTTTGCTAATTTTATTATGAATATTTAGAAATTCTATTTTTTAGTTCCAAAGTTCTATAATATAATGAGATATATACTTCTTATAATCCTTTAGTATAGTATCCTTATTTCTAAAAGATGATGGAGTTCTTTATAACCGCTACATTAATTTTTCATTTTCTCCAACAATTTTTTTAGCTTCTTGTTTTCTATATGATAAATTAAGAGATTTAATAGAGTTGGCTGAACTTTGACGAGTGACAGATTTTTTTGGCATTGAAGAAAATGTTTTTTAATTTCCTATATCCACAATACGATTAAGAATCTTAGCATTCTCTTTAAAGAGACGTTATTCCTTCTATAAATCTACTTAGAGTTTTGTATAAAATTTATTTGCCCTTATTTACTAATATTTATCATTGTCTAATAAAATATGCTAAAGTTTGAGAATATTATACTTTTTTTGAAATATGTGGATCTGATTTTGTATTTAATAGTTTGAATTTATGTTATTGGAACTATTCAGCATAGCATACTTTTTTTATAATATCCTATTCTACATATTTAGGACCTCTCATAATTTTTATGATTTTATAATATAAATAAATACTTATTTGGATGTTATAAATTATATATATATGGAAATGAAAAATGATCAAATACTTTATAAATCTAATTGATTTTTGAATAGTGGATAGTATATTTTAAATGACATTTGAAAATAATGATAAAAATGTTTGAATTATTATGATTATATAATAATAAATTATAGAAATAGAATTTAGTATCTGTGTTCTAGTTAATTTTGTTATTGCTAAGTATTTTGTGATGAGAATATCATTTTGAAAATTTATTTAAATTAAATGTTTGAGAAGGAAGTAGTGATTGATGGAAAAGGTCATTTATAAGGTAGATTAGCTTCTTACATTGCAAAAGAATTATAAAGAGGATAAAGAATAGTTTTGGTAAGAGCAGAATTGATTTAACAATCAGGTAATATAATTCAATGATTTTAGGCTCTCTATTTAGAAACAGAGTTATTTTTGAAGAATATTTAAATAAAAGAATGGCATTCAATCCAAGAAGAGGATATAAACATTATAGAACACCATCAAGATGTTTCTGGAAAGTTGTAAGAGGAATGCTTCAATACAAATCAAAAAGAGGAGCAGCTGCTTTAGAAAGATTAAAAGTCTTTGAAGGAGTTCCTCCTCCTTATGATACAAGAAAGAGATAAGTAGTTCCAGATGCTCTTAAATTGATTAGACTTAAGAATCATAGACCTTATTGCACTTTAGGTGATTTGTGTGCTTCAGTTGGATGGAATTAATAATCAATTGTAAATAGACTTGAAGAAAAAAGAAAGCAAAGGTAGAATTTATATATATAATAAATGTTAGAGGTGCAACATATTATAAGAGAAAAATTGCAAGAGAAAATCTTAGAAGAAAGGCAATTGGTGCTAAAGAACTTACTGGAATAAATGCAGAATTAGAGAAATTGGGTTATTGAGAAAATATAATAAGATAATGTACAATTAGAAAATTAAGTAATATTATCATCATTGTGATCTTTTTAATTTCAAAGAGAGTTTTTTAGTTTATTTTTACAAGTTTGATTATTTTTCAAGATGATCAATCATATAAACAGATAACAATGGTTTAAAATCCATTGTTGTATGCAAAGATTATTAACTTATTGCTTTTTAATTTAATAATCGATTTAATTTTGTATTTTAATTCTTTATTTATTAAAGATAACTGCTGTTTTTGCAAGAATCAGCTTTTACTTTTTATTAAATGATTAAAGTTTGAATTTTTTCACCAAAACTTATTTTTCTATTTTTTATATCCAAATTACAACTTTTATTTCTTTTACGATTAGGTGGACTTTAAGGATATGGATGTTGATGTATAGAATAATGACTAATCATCATTTTTGGAGGACAACTGCTTCTAATTTTAAATTCTTAAACAGCAACCTTTGATATATAAATGATAGATTGAATAGCAATAATTAATTTTCTCCATTTTTTTACATAAAATTAATGTCTTTGATAAGATGTTCCATGATAGGGAATAATTTAAAACATATAATAATATCTTTTATTTAAAGTTCCCTCATAAGAAGACTCTGAACTTCTACATCTTTTATTGCTAATTACATATAATATTCAATAGTACTTATAATTTTCTTATCTTTTTTTACTAAAAGATTTTAATTTAAAAAGAGTCTGTTTATACTCTACTATTTCTGGTAATTTTGGATGTTATCTATGACTTTGTTATTTTGGAGATAGAGAATTTATTAACTATTTTGGAGTTCTAGTTTTTATTATAAAGCTGTTTTTAGATCTTTATTACTTTTCCATATTAATCAATTAATATAACTATTATTAAAAAATAATTTATTAGACTTCTAATTAGATATTTATTCAAATAAACTTTATTGTTTAAGGATTTAATTAGGAAAATTTATGAGTAATATTTTCATTATATTCAATATAATCTGAGAGTTCTTATTCTTCTTATCATAGTAGAAGAAACTCTCTTTATTCTAATGTTTTCCTCTTTGTAAGGTGCTATTTACATAAGAATAGGTAATTAATTAGTATCTTTATTGCTTGTACATCTATTTCTTGAGAGATCAAGTGTTTGATCACATATCTTTGAAGTCATAAGTCTTTTTATTCTTGAATCGTTAAAACGAAATTCTTTTGTGATTACTGATTTTGAACATAATTCTTTTTTTTATTTCTCACTCTCATACATAGCTTTTACATAATCACCAAAACCACTTGGTTAATTCTTTCCTTCCCCTTAAGTTCTACTTCGAAATTTTCTTTTAGGTGGACTTGTAGGATAATTGAGACTTTTAAGACTACTTCTTCGAGGAGGAATATGAGGACATGAAGCAGTCTTAGAAATTAATTATTCTCTATAAAGTTTGCTATAAAAAAGTATAATCTACACTCCTAAAATTAAACATTTCCACATCCTTCTACATTAATTGAATCTCTATTGAGCAGGACGATGATAAGGTATTAATAAAAAAAACTAAGAAACTTTTTTACCATTTTGACCTTCAATCGAGCTTTCCGAACTTTTACCTCTAGGATAATATTTAAGTCTATATATAATAAATTTTTTATTACTTTTTATGATCTTGTTTTAGTTCGTTCCACTAAGATAACTATTTTAGATTCTCGTTTATTTGATATCTTGGTTATTTTTATTTATATAATCTCACTCTTGTAACTTGACTAGATTTCAAACTTTAACTTATGAAAGATCTTTCAAATTTTCTAATAAAACTATTTTCTAAGTCATTTCTATAAATATTTGGTAATTTTTTGGGATTCATAAATAATTAATATTATATATAATAAAGTGATCATTTGCCAAGATTTGAAAATACTCTTTGCAATCTTTTATCTAATTTTATAAGAGGAGGAAGAGTTAAATTACACTTTTGTCTGTTATTCACTTTTATAGGAGATAGTTTTAAATTATCAGCAGAAATGCTATTATTTCTTTTTGTTAATATTCTATTGATTCTAACTTAACTAGATTGATATTTTAAATAAATAGGGGATTTCTTGAAATTAGGTATTTCTTTCCTTTTTTATTTTTCTTTTAATTCATCTTAAGCTTCAATATATTCACCAAATGTTCCTAATTTTAATAAACAATCTTTTTTTCTTTTTCTTGGATTTCTAGGTAAAGTATCAGGTGTTGGTAAAGCATATAGTTTTTTTCTGGGAATATAAAATTTGTATATATCATATCTCGCTCTTTCATATCTGAATAATGAGATTATGACATTTATGTATTTCTTCCATAATTTTCTTATAGCTTATTTTCTATGCTATTTACAATGATGATAAGGTAAATATAGAAAAATCTATTAATCCTTAAGATTTAAGAACCCTTCTACATTACTTTAGGAACTCAGAGACCTTTTATGATATTTAAGTCTATTTTAGAATAAATATTTTACAATTGATAATCTGAAATTCTCTCATTAATTTCATTAAGTTCTTTCAACTTTGATAACTAATCCAGTTCATTATGTTTCTAAAAATTATTATCTTGTTATTATTTGAAATTCAATAAATTATTAAGAGATCTTTGATGAAATGCAAGCTGTGTATATTTCTATTAAATATTTTTTAATCCTTTATCTTTCATTTATTAAGTAGTTTAAGTAGTTTAATTAGATTATTGCTATTAAATTTACAAAGATGCAAATAAATGGAATTATCAGACTTAAAATTGAGTTTAATTTAAATAATAATTTTATATGAGAATTAATAAATCGAATTTAATATGAAGATTTCAAAATCAATAGAGAAGATTTTGTTATTTTATATTATTATTTATATCATCTCTTCTCTCTAAAACCTGTCCCTTTCATAAAAGTATAAATTCTACTATCTCATATACACTTTAATAATAATAAATTCTTACATTTTATCATCAATATTCTTTTTACTTAATTGCAAATTAAATAAAGTATTATGAATGTTATCATCTAAATTGAAATTTGATTTTATTATTTTTAATTCCATTACCAGAAAATTTATTAATCTTTGTGAATGTAACCTTCCATTAAATTTTTTTGTATATTTTTTGATTATTTGACAAAAAATAAATAGTGAATAAATCAATATTTCATAATTTATTCTTTGTTTATAAGCAAACACATCTTTATTTTAATGATATAATTAACATATTTAATATATTCTTTAAAAGATGATAAAATATTTAGTCATTATATATTGTTTAATTTTTATAATTAAATTAAATATGAATAAAACACTAGAAAGAAATGAAAATGGAACTGTAATCATGAATTTAAGAAATCTAAAGATTATTTGTGATAGAAAAGATCTTTATTAGATTCCAGAGAATAATGAGACTCTTTATTTGCACTATTTAGGTATATTTGAATCATATTGATTAAGGATTTGATAAAATTGAAAATCTAGAACCTTATAAAAATTTAATAGCATTATGGTTGAATAACAATGCAATAGGTAAAATTGAGAATTTAGATGAACTCACTTAACTTGTAAGTCTATATTTAAATCATAACCTAATTCAAAAGATTGAAAATCTTTCACTTCTGTCTAATTTATGTATATTAAACTTGAGTCATAATTCAATTAAGAAAATTGAAAACTTGTAAGCATTAAATAAACTCTAAAATTTAAATATTTCAAATAATCATTTAACAGGTTATGAATCATTAGAAGGTTTATTAGAATGTTTATCAATTACTAATTTAGATATATCTAATAATTTTATATCTTATGAATAATCTATTGTAGAATTGTTTGGAAAAACAAATTTAGCTTGTTTATATTTAAAAGCTAATTCTTTTGGTATAATATTTAATAATAAATTTTAGTAAGAGAATGTTCAGATTATAGAAAGACAATGATAGTTACAATTAAAAATTTGAAATATCTTGATGATAAACCAGTTACTGAAGGAGAAAGAAAAATAAGTGAAGCATGGTAAATTGGAGGTAAAGCAGCAGAATAATAAGAAAGACTTGCTCAAATTGAAAAAAGAAAAGAAATTAATTATCAAAACTATCTATAAACTTTAGAAAGACAATAGAGAGGAGAAATGAGAAGCAATTTATTGATTTAAAAAGAGAACATATTAAGAGAAATTGACTTATTATAAATGTTATTAGTTGATGGTGATGATGTTTAAAATTAAATTGAATAAAAAGAAAAGGAATTATAAAATATTGAAATAGAATTAGAGAAATATAAAATAGATTAATTGTCACCTTATAAATGTATGCTTACAACAAAGGACGAATATGGAAATATCATAATTTTAAATAAATCAGAAGATGTAATAATTATGTTTTATAGAAAAGGAATTAAAATAAATTAAGCAAAAGTATTTTAATGAAGATATCCAATAACTAAATGAGACTGATTTACCAGATTTAGAAAATGAAAATTAAACTGAGTCTATTAATGAAAATTTGGAAGATAAAAATAATATTAATTTAGATTAATAATATAATAAAAATGAATTTTAAGAAGATAAAAAAATAAAGATTTTAAGGGAATTTAAAGATAAGAAAAATGGATGGACTACAGATAATGAAGAATTACTTTAAAATTTGTTAATCTTTCATTCATTTGACTATTAAATTGTTAGCAAGGAGGTTAAACAAAAAATGGCGGAATAAAATTCTTAATTATAATACTTAGATCCAGAAGATCTTAAATTAATATGGACATATATTGAACTTACAAAATAAAAAAATCAAAAACCATAAAATTTAGATGGAATTGATTGATGAGATTTATTTTTATTATTTTATTCAATGTTGTTAATAATAATTAATAATCTCATTTTTTAAATTATATTTATTAACTTATTATTATAAAGATATTTTGTATTATAAATTTTCATTTAAGTGTTCTTAAATGGCCACCTAATTCTTAATTTGTTAGAAATGCCATTTAATGACACTAACATAAATAATGTTTTCCTTTTAGTGTTTTAATCATGTAGTTCTATTTTTCAGTAGTTTCAATAGAAAGGATGACTTAATCATAAAGATCAGATTATTAATTTTATTTACATTTTTCCTTCTATTCTAATAATTATTCATAATAATAATATATTTTTTAAGTCTATTCACGAAGTTCACTTTCTGATAACTGTTTTAACTACTTAGTTTTTTTTATTCTTTTTAATTCCTTTTTGTACATATTTTTTAGATCTCTAACTGCTCTTAGTAACCCTTCTTGTATAGTAATTTCATCATTTTTATAATTATTGAAGACTTCTTCCTATTCTTATATCATTTAGATAATTAAATGGGATTATTAAAATTAATCAATCTTCTATAATTTCTTTGAAATTTTATTGAATAATTAGAAAATTTTTCTTAATTATTTTAGGCTGATTTAAATCAGCAAAAAGTTAAATCATTCAGCTCATCCCCATTATAATGGCCTTATCATGTTATAGAAAATATAAAAATCAGCAAATTTTTTGAACCAAGTCATTTTTTTTCTTTTTGAAAAAATTTAAAGAAAATTTGTAATTTCTTTACAAGGTTCAATCATTTTTTTTATTGAACCAATTAGAAACATAAAAAAAGGTTTTTAAATTCATATTTTCATAAACAATTTATAATTCATAATATACGCTTCTTTTTCTCTCTCTTGTTCGAAGCTAAAAAATCTTTATCAAATGGATGAGTTTCTTCATCTAAAGTTTAAATGCCTTATTAACAACGAGGCGGTTTTTAAGTTTTAAATTTTTTTTCTACAATAAATAACAAATGATTACATTCACTTATTCCTTCTCCCTTTAATTTATCAGTAGATTTATTTTTGCAGTTTTTATTAACATCATCTTTAGAGGCAACTAGGAATTCTTCTTGTAAGAGATCTAAATCATTATCCAAATGTTATAACAACAACACTAACTTGTAGATTTGTTAGATCTCTTTTTTTGTATTCTTTTGAACAATATTATTTTTATATTGTTTTTACGATATATTTCTTATCATTTAATTTAATGAAATTTAATGGTTTGAATAAAAAATTTAAAATAACCAAATAATATAAAAATCATTATAACTTTTATAATGCTATAAAATAATCAATATGTGTCATTTTTCAGTCTATTTTTCACTTGAATTAGTACTAAAAACTATTATTGATTTCTAAAGTTCATATTTTTTCTTAAATTTTAAATAATAAAATAAATTTTGAAAAAATTAAACTTAAATAGATAATTAAAAATTTTATACAATTATTTTTTTCAAAGACATAAAAAGTATCACTAAGTAATTTAAATTCAATTATTTAAAATATTTTTATGATATTTTAATATATATTTAATTTATGCTAAATATTACTTAAATTATAATAGTTTAACTATTGATTTTGATATTAAGAAATTATGATTTAAATAGACAAGTTCAAGGATTTTATTGAATGAATTTAAATAAAATTTTACTTTAATAATTAAACTATATTATCAATTAATATAATATAGAAAAATTAATTTATTGAAAAAATAATTCAAATTGCAAAAAATTTAATAAAAATTAAAATCATTCATATTATTACCTACATCAAAACCAAAATGATTTCCTAAAGGTAACATAAACATTTATATATATACCTGATTAATTTTATAAATATATAAAAAACAGCATATATATAATATATGAATGGTTTCAATAGAATCACTTATTACCACTCTCAAAAAATTGTTATTTTTCAATTTATTGACTATAATTTCTACTATGTTTAGATGATGAACTTGATGATTAATCAGTAGTAGATGAAATCTTATTTTAACTTTGAT